TGTGATACTAGCCATCCCCTGCCACGCGTTGCTGTGGCCCAGTCTGTGTATATGTGTTTTGTGTGTATATATATTTGTGTATATGTGTATATATGTGTAGGTTCTTGTGGGTTTTTTTCGGGCTATAGAGCCATGTTCTAGAGGCATTTCTCCTGACGTTTCGCCTGCATCTATGGCAAGCATCCTCAGAGGTAGTGAGGATGCTTGCCATAGATGCAGGCGAAACGTCAGGAGAAATGCCTCTAGAACATGGCTCTATAGCCCGAAAAAAACCCACAAGAACCTAGTGATTCCAGCCATGAAAGCCTTCGACAATACATTGTATATATGTGGTTTTGCGCATATGTTGGAATGTATTTTTTATTTTTGGCTTTGAAAGTCTTTTCTGCTGTGTTTTTCAGTATTTTTGAGTGACGGTCACTCGTTGGTATGATATTTGTATTGTTTCCAAATTTGGTGTCAATTCGCCCAGTGGTTTTAGAGTTATGTTAATCCCACAAAAGAACATTACATTTTTATTTATATAGATTGTCTCATATGGGAGGAGATCCATGGGGGTGACACCATGGGTTATTACACTGGGTGACACCAACCCTAATGATGCCACTGCAATTAAGCCATTGAACAGGCTCCTGAACCATGACCCAACTGGCGGCTTCTGGATATCATGAGGAAAGGCCATCCAAAAGGTGGGAAACATCAATGAGAAGATCCACATCTATGTTGCTGCCAGATGACAGTCTGTCATAACAGAACTGGCAAGGCTTCCTACAACGATCATAATGGTGGTAAGAATCTATAATGGAAAGACATTGTGTCAGCTAAGAATACAGTCCTTTCCTGGAAAAAAAAGACATTGAAGAATTTCATCTGTGTGAGAAGAAGCAGCATTTTAATCACTGAACTCATGTCTGTATTAGTAACTAAGATACTGGCAAGATGGGGAATGAAAAATGTGAAGCAAATATCAAATAGCAAAGGATTTCAAATGCCTCTGTGATTTACAGGAAAGAGGAACCACCCGTTTGGCAAACCATTTCTTAAGGACATGTAGAAGCAATTATATTTGTAATGATTTAATTTAATAATTTTTCACAACAACTCACTTACAGAAGGACAAAGGAAAGGAAATGGGAGGCCAATCATTGAATGTAGTACAAACCCATTAGCCTAATGCAATTTTGAAATGCAATTTAGCTATAGACACGTGTTCATATTCCAGGCAAAACCGTGTTCCTTTTAACCACTTTGTTCATTAGAAATCTCATACAGTCATTAAATGATGGCCCGTTGCAGATAGTGTTCTGCTCCATGTGGGATTTGTGAGATAGATCCTATTCTTTCTGTTTCATGAGACGGGCATCACTATGGAAGTGGAAATTGCAGTGCTCAACTGCCTTTAATTATAAAAACACCTGGCATTTTAAAAAAACTACTAGTTGTTTCCAAATATTTATTGAAAATTTGTTGAGAGAAATATCACAAACAGCTACAGTTATCTATTTAGATAGCTTTAAAAGGAAGCAAATTGTGGAGAATAAATAATTCATAGAGCAGCGTTTCTCAACCCTGGGGGTCGAATGGGCATTTCAGAGGGATCACCAAAGACCATCAGAAAACATATAGTTCTGATGGTCTTAGGAACTCCTTTGGCAGATAAGGTTGAAGATCTCAATGCCTGTCCTTCTCTTCCTTTTTGTAAAAGAATCCTCCCACCAAAAGCCCTCCTCTGCTGTGATTGGTCGACCTCTCAGAAAGCCTCTTAGCTAAGGAGGGGGGCAGTGTTTCTGAGACTCCAAGTGGGGAGGGGAGAGCAGGTGTGCTCGGCACATGGCAGCATGGTGTGCATGCGCAGGTGAGGGAGTGTGCAAAGCTGGAGGGAGACTCGTGCCAGTGGTTGAGTCCCTTCAAGGCAGGGAGGAAAGCACTGCACAATGTGGGACTGAGAGTGGCCCAGCAGCATCAGGAGGAGGAGCAGCAGCTGAAGCAGCTTAGGAAATTTGTTATGCTATTTAATAGGAAAAAAGTCATTTTGCTTTTGTTTTTTTATTAATGCTCCTGTTAGAAAATGCATAAGGATGTGAGTTTACTACAACTCCCAAAATTGTAGGTCAGTGCTCCCCAAACCCCGCCAGTATTCAAAGTTGGCCAAATTGGGTATGTGTGCCAAGTTTGTTCCAGATCCATCATCAGCTGGGTTCAGTGCTCTTTGGATGCAGGTGAACTACAACTCACATATGCCAGGTCAATCAACCCCAAACCCCACCTTTATTCTCCATTGGTCATGTTGGGTCTGTGTGTCCGGTTTGGTTCAGATCCAGCATTGGTGAATTATAAATCCCAGCCACTACAACCCCCAAATGTCAAGGTCTGTTTTCCCCAAACTCCACCAGTGTTCACATTTGGGTATATTGAGTATACGTGCCAGGTTTGGTCCAGATCCATCATTGTTTGAGTCCACAGTGCTCTCTGGATGTAGGTGAACTACAACTCCAAAACTCAAGGTCAGTGCCCACCAAACTCTTCCAGTATTTTCGGTTAACTATAAATCCCAGCAATTACAACTCCCAAATGACAAAAACAATCCCCCCAACTTGTGCCAAATCGTGCCAAATTTGATCCAGTGAATGAAAGTGCATCCTGTATATCAGATATTTACGATTCATAACAATAGCAAAATTACAGTTATGCAGTAGCAATGAAAATAATTTTATAATACATTTGATTTTTTAAAAAATACATTTTATTTTAAAAACCAGTAATTGTTGCTGATCTTCTCTGTGTTTGGCTTTGTGCAAATGTATAGCTGGAGGGGAAATCTTTTGCATTAGTCCCAAATGTAGACAAGTTTCTCTACTAAAGGATTATGTATAGGCATCTAATCTTGAGTCTTTGTCAGTTGAAGATAATGTACAAAAGGGTGTCAAATGCAATGTGCCTGTGAGCCTTAAGTGAACTCACTTTCACCAAACTTGGCCACGGTGGTACATGCTCTGGTCACATCCCACCTTGACTACTGCAACGCTCTCTACGTGGGGCTGCCCTTGAAGACGGCCCGGAAGCTTCAGCTAGTCCAGCGCGCGGCAGCCATGTTACTAACAGGAGCGGGACGCAGGGAGCACACAACGCCCTTGTTGTCCAGCTCCACTGGCTGCCGATTTGCTACCGGGCCCAATTTAAGGTGCTGGTGTTATCCTACAAAGCCCTAAACGGTTCCGGCCCAAAATACCTTTCGGACTGCATCTCGGCCTATGAGCCCACGAGGGCCTTGAGATCGTCTGGGGAGGCCCTTCTCTCGATCCCGCCTGCCTCACAGGCACGTCTGGCGGGGACGAGAGAGAGGGCCTTCTCGGTGGTGGCCCCCCGGCTGTGGAACGCTCGCCCTGTTGACATTAGACAGGCGCCCTCCCTTATGTCCTTCCGTAAGAGCTTAAAGACCTGGCTATTCGAGAAGGCATTTAACTGAGTGTTATACTAATTGGTAATGACAACTGGAACGAAATGGATTATGAGATTGGTTACGATTCGATGTTGGAATGGAGCGGATGATTTAGTGTAATTTAGATTACTGTGTATTTTGATATGTTGTTTTTTGTATTGTTCTATTGTAAACGGTTTTTAAATGTTGTACACCGCCGCGAGTCGCCCCAGGGCTGAGAGCGGCGGTCAACAAATGCAACAAATAAATAAATAAATAAATAAACTATAAATTCTAGGATTCCATCGGATGCAACCATAGCAGTTAAAGTAGAATCATAATCATATAATTGTATAATGTAAATGTGGCCCTAATGTGAACATAAACATAAAAAGGTGCTTTATAAGAGGTCAAACCGGTGGTACATTTTCAAAAGGTAGTATTTCCTTATGCTACCTGGAGGTTCTGGGACTGTGTCTCTAGCCGTTTTTCCCCAAGAACTGAACAGCAACAAAGTTGCCTTCATGTAGTTCTTCTGGAAACAGATTTCTAACTAGAAACACATATATATATGCTTTTAGAACACACTTAAGCACAAATTATAAATAACTGTGTCTACAGTGGACACATCGATATAATAAGTGAATTGCATTTATTTGCAAGCTTATTTCTGAAGCACCATTGGAAACCTGTTTGTAAAGTATCTGTAATAGCAGTGGTTCCCAACCTTTTTTTGACCAGGCACCACTTCAACAGGGACCTCTCCAACATTAGTACCAAAAGGATTATGAATTTTTGGTCAACTTTGGATTTGGTTTGGTTATTTGGGGTGATGATTCAGAAAATTGCATTGGATAGACCACATCAGCTCTTGTTTCTGATACAGAACATATGCCATCTCCTCACCCACAGAAAACTATATTTAATAATCTAGAGATGATGTGGTAGTGGTAATCTTTCACGGGTATTCAGCCTCTCCCCTCCTGACATTCCCGTTGCCTTGGCACTATAAGAGGGTTTTGCGAGACCAGTTGCTCTCATTGCCACGTGGTTTTGAGGCAACAGTGTAGTAACAGGGAGGACCAGATTTTTGCTCTTGCAGACCACTGATGGTCTACGGACCACAGGTTGGGAACCACTGTGCTATAGCATGAAGGATGGGAAATTTGGATTACATTTGTGATACATCTTGGTGCAAAACTAGGTATTTGATTGTTTTGGGTTTGAAAGACTGAGGGCAATTCTAGTACCAGGTTCCAGATTTGGGAGGCATACCTGCCTTCATGTGTAAACCCCTGTGTGCCATTTCAAAACACATCAATTAAAACAATAAATTAGCTTTATCTTTCTTTGTGAGACTGAATCCAATAATGTTATGATTTATGCTCATATTGTTGTGGTTAAACAATTAAACAAAATACGTGATCCCTATTTTATGTGTACTGCTCTTAACCCTGCTGGAAATATATAAGATTAAGAATAGGCCATAAACATGGTCTCTCAATGCAAGCAATCTAGTTTCAGTGAATTATGAACCACAGCCAATAAATAAAATTCAAATCATTATACACATTGCTGTGCATTTGAAAGAAAACTAGAATTACTTTATTTCCACATACAATAATACAATGAGTATCTTTGAAAGCAAACAATGATTCAACGTTTTAAAATGGTTGCACAGTCCAGCGCATCTCTGATTTGTTGATGAAGGGCTTCTTCTTTTGGTTATGATAAGTCTGACTGCATGGAAAGTGTGCATCAAATAGCAATGGATATGACCTTTTGATATTCAGCATGCATCTAATGGCAGAGGAGGTTTTCCAAAGCTAAAATCCCTGAACAAAGCTCACATACATAATGTGAAATTTGTGAACAACCTTGCCATCTCATGTCAAAAACTAGATAGTCTTACCTGAGAATACACTTAGTGATATTAAAGCTAAAGGCACATAATATATTTATGGTCTTTCCTGAGTATAGCTTCATAACAACAAATATAGACACTTCCAAATGGTGCTTGCCCAATAAGCAGACACATGATTCTAATACCAAATTCAAACATCACAGATAGTCAGATACCTCAAGTATAAAAACCTTCTGCCCTTCAGATCAGTTGGCATGCATCTTAAGTAATAAAGGACATTATTCCACTTGAAGGACATTCTTTGAAAGGTGTTCTGTTTAAATGGACATGTTAAAGATCCAGAAGAATGGACAATAGAGTTCTTGAAGTTGCCTGTTAGCAGTCAGCACCTAGGCAACAAAGCTCAAAGGTACCCAGAACAAGTCTGTGCTTCTACTTAAATTGGAAATTTAGAAATAATGGCCAGTGTTCTGCATCAGCTTTTTATTTAAGTTCACTTAAGTTAAGTGTAAGGTTGATGTGTTGCTGAAGGCTTTCATGGCTGAAATCACTGGGTTGCTGTGAGTTTTCTGGGCTGTATGGCCATGTTCCAGAAGCATTCTCTCCTGATGTTTTGCCTACATCTATGGCAGGCATCCATAGATCCATAGTTCTGCATCAGCCACTGATTTAAATATACTTAAGTTTACAGTTGACCTTCCATATTTGCGGTTTTGTCTTTTGCGGATTTGATTAGTCACAGGTTTGATTAAAATATTCTCTCTAGATCTACACATTCTTAGAAAGATCTACACATTCCTAGAAAGATGGTATCTCAGGTATATAAAAAAAGCAATTTCTTTATTCAGATTTTTTTTTTCATTTTTGCAGGTGTTCTGTGCCCATTACCCCAGCAAATGTGGATGACTGGCTGTACTTAACTTAGTAACCTCTCCTGGCCTTAACTATAAAGGAAATACCACTACTTGTACTCTAACCCACTACTTCTTAAACTATGATCCTGATCCTAAATGGGGTCCCGTAAGAGAAAACAGTGGTTGCAAAAAAAAAAATGGCAACACTAAACGATTTCTAAATGCCATGAATCTATTAGCTACAGCATGCAGTGCTTACAGAGGACTCTGCAGAAAATGCTTCAGCTGTACTTCATAAAAAGGAAAATCAGCCTGTTTAGCAAGACTTGCAAATGCTGATTTAAATGTTTAAATGTTTTAATTTTTGCCTATTTCATATACCTATGTACCTGGGGTTGCCTAAAAATTTATTGGGTGGAAAGGGGCCTAAGCAATTGATGTAGAATACTAGCCAATTTTCCATCTCTATATGAATTGATTTATGGGATTTTATTTCTGTGTCCTCTTCTTTTTCAGTGATAGGAAAAATCATATTCAAAGCACTCCCGACAGATGGCCACCCTGCCTCTGTTTAAAAGGCTCCTTCTTTGGAGGCTTTTAAACAGAGACTGAATGGCCATCTGTTGGGCGTGCTTTGAATGTGATTTTCCTGCTTCTTGGCAGGGGGTTGGAATGGATGGCCCACAAGGTCTCTTCCAACTCTATGATTCTATGATACACTTCCCCCTTTCCCCCCTTTAAATGTGAAACTTGTATCTATTTTCATAAATAGTAAGCACTCAAATGTGTCTCAACCATGATCTTCATAGATTCAATGAACATTTCTGATGCTTTCGCCTTCACTTGACTGACATATATGTTGTATATTCTGTTCCTGGATTCAATAGCAATTCTATTAATTCGATACTTTTTTAAAAAAGCAGAAGATGCACCATACATTTTTATCTCATCTGTATGTCAAAAAATTCAGGGCAATAACAATTTTATTCACACAACTATTATGTGAGTTATGTTAAGCTGAGACTTAATAACTTATCCAAGGCTTGGACAAGTTTCATGGCCAAGTACCCTAACTCAAATCAATTGCGTACTGAATGGAGTCAGAGTAGAAGCCATCTAGAATATACAGCATTCTTAAAAGTAAAACCTTTTTCTTTAAAAATAATAAATGCCTGTGTTTATAAGATACCTATAAAACAGGTTTTCTGAGCACCACACAATTATCTTGAAATAAAACAGTAGTGCAATTAAATACTGGCACATATCTAAAAATGCAACAAGACAAACTGACTCAGCTGAAAGTCTGTATAAAATTCAATGTGATCTATAGTTACCCAGCCATTCTGTGACGCCATTATTTGCAGAATACTAATGCTAAATGCTTTGACACTGGCTTCTCATATCCTTTGGTGTAGTCAGAACATACTTAGCAATAAATAATAGTTATGATTAAAAATAAGAAAAATAATACAATTTTAAATGCAAACTGCTATACATTTGCAGCACACCCATGTTTGGTGTTTGATTTTTTTCATACTTAAAAATAGAGATGTACAATTTGTTCATCCTAGAATGTGTACAACCCAGTTTCTGTAACAGCAGGGTTTTCTTTCTTTGTTTGTTTAATGTCATGTGTGGAAATTTCCCAGTTTACCCAAGTGCAATGAAAGGGTAAACCCGTCATCTATTAATGTCCTGGATTGATTTTCACTTGCCAATGTCACCGCCAGCCTGTTCAATAGTAAAATGTTCTCTTTCTGCTTCAAGCGGAGGATAGACAACGCACTAAGGGAAGGTTCATAATTTAACGTCTAGATGCACAGATTGTACAAGCCTACATGATATGGTAAACAAAACCATTACGGGTCAGAGGTGGAAGAAACAGAGTAAAGCATTAGGAAATGTTTATACTAAACTAGATCTCATCTTCTGACTCCTGGTCCCGCTCGGATGTTTTCAGTAATCCAATTTCCATGGTTGGGGCTTGTTTCATTTTGGAACGGACTATCCTGGAAAAGAAAATCAAGGTAGAAGAATCCATGTAATATCTACACCTTTGCAGTCAAGCAGAGATCAAGCTGAGAGATGATTACTTGGGATATCACATAACCATTTGTTTCCTACATTCCACCCTCTTCTCCCGACACAGCATTTTCTGAAGAGCACAGGACAGTTTCTGAATCAGTGGAGCAATGAATCTGCTCTAAGGGTGCATCTACACTGTAGAATTAATCCAGTTTGACAACACTTAAACTGCCATGGCTCAGGGCTGTAGGATCATGGGAGATGTAGTTTGGGGAGGCACCAGAACTGTTTAGCATAAAAGGCTAAAGATCTTGTAAAACTACCACTTCCAGGATGCCATAACATCGAGTCATGGCAGTTAAAGTGGTGTCAAACTGCATTGATCCTGCAGTACAGATGCACCCTCATTCTTACCTTAAAGTTCAAAAGGAGATCCAAAAGGCCTGAATCTATTTTGGGAATAATAATCATAATAAATCTTTATTTATATCCCACTTTTCTCCCAAAAAAAGGGACCCAAAGCAGCTTCCAACATATTAAGAACAGTATAAAATCAACTGCAATTCATTGACCTCATGGCCATCTCCTGTAGGGTCCTGCAGGGTTCTGTATTGTCCCCCACTGGAAGAGATCATCTGGAGTTTTGGAGTTCAGTGCCATCTCTACGCAGATGACACCCAACTCTACTACTCATTTCCACCAAAAGCCAAGAAGGTGAAGCTTCTGCCATTCCAGGAAGGACCGGAACCACTGTAAAACAGGACCCCCAAGACTCATCCCAGCCAGGCGGTCCTGAAGGATATAATGGTCAATGATATTGAAGGCTACTGAAAGTCCAGGAGAACCAATAGGGGCACATTCCCCATCCAGCTCTCTGGGTAGATCATCTACCAAGGCGACCAAAGCGGTCTTAGTCCTATAGCAGGGCCTAAAACCAGACTGAAATAGATCGAGATAATCAGTTTAATCTAGGAATCCCTGGAGTTGTGAGGCCACCACGCACTCCAGAACCTTGTCCAGGAAAGGAAAGTTAGAAAGGGTGGTAGTTACCCATCTCATAAGGGTCCTATGATGGTTTCTTTAGTAAGGGTCTTACTACAGCCATTTTCAGGCTAGATGGAAATTTGCCTTGACTAAGGGAGGCATTTGCCACCCAAGAGCAGTTTCTTTAATTACTGGGCAGCTTCTTGAAAATCTGTATTGAACCCATAGGACAGCGTTATCTTTTTTAAACCACAATAAGCAATGTTTTCTTGTGATCCTTTATGGTGACTTATTTAGGAGAAATGTAAGCATTTAAGAAACATATTGAGCATATTTTTTTTGCTTTATGCCATTTCCTTATCAATTCCTGCCCTTCCCCAAAAAGTAATGGGGGAAAGAACACGAATACTACTTATTTAAATACTGTAGTGAACAACAGTAATACTGCAAGTCATTTAAAAACAATTTTAACAAATCAGAAAAATACATTACTTTAAAAAAGCATTTTAATGCTATAAACCAGAAAGCAGTTAACCACTTTTCAATCTCAGCTCACCAAACAATCCACGAAGATTAATATAATGTGTTTATTTTAATATTGCTTATAGCCTAATTCTCTTTCATGTTGACTTTTTAATGCTGTTAACACTTCTGTAATTACATTGAGTCCTAATGTTGGGAGGAAAGGAAAGCTAGAAATAAACTGACATGACAATAAATAACTTGTGCCTGTTCAGTAGCTTACTTTTTTGTTTTTTGTTTAAAGGGGCAATAACCTGAGGTGGGTAACATGGCTCAAGGTCTACCCAGTTCTGAACACACAAATACCTGAAAATCGTATTGTGTAAAAGCAAGATCTGAAAGCCTAAATTGCATTTAAAGTTAAATTTGCGCATTCAGACTTCCTATTTTCCAAAAAGGCGTCACTTACCAGCTGACTATAGAATAATTCACTGCCATTATAAGAAGTGCAAATGCATAATGCCAGCAATAGCACATGGTGAGGAACATTATATTATTATGATCCATTTGGTTCCATTCTGGACTCCCACTTGGAGGATAAAGTACAAATCCAATCTATGAAATAAAAAGAGAATAATGCTTTTGATTTGAAATACTACATTTTATAGATGTACATTTTGGAATGCTCTACTATGTTATGTGTGTGCCTCATCTCAGGTGTTGGTCCCTAGGTCTTACAGAAAGTGTGTTGAAATGTTGGCCTAGATAACAAAGGACACTATTTCACTTGAAGGACATTCTTTGAAAGGTGCTCTGTTTAAAAAGACAAGTTCAAGATTCAGAAGAAGGGACAATAAGGTTCTTGAAGGTGCCTATTAACAGTTAGCACCTGGGCAACAAAGCTCAAAGGTACCCAGAACATTAGTCCCCAAACTCTTGGCAGCTGCTTGAGATTGTTACATGCTGGCACCTGGGCTGATCATGAAGCCAAGACACAGTGATTTGCTTACCTGCCAAAACCAGCTCCCTTGCAGTATGCAGAGACTTGTCCGGAACAGCTCAAGGACAATGATGCCACGGAAGAAAATTTCCAGGAAGACACAGATGGCTGCTCCAAAAATGGCCACTAAAAGCAACTGATGGACATGGAGATCTAGCATAGCACGCCCATGGATGTGATAATAAAAAAGAAAACCTGACGATATATAATGAGAGGGTCAGCTATTTTTCCTCCTGTACTGCATTATTACACAAAATTCCAATTACAATATGAAGGACATTATCCAGATTTGTGTCAAGCAACCTACATACATATACAATTTCATTGAAACTAGAGGTGTATGAGAACTCCTTCAGCAGAGGGAGGAGGTTCATCTTTGCAGTCACTCCTCCACATCCTTGTGGACTGAAGACAATGGAGAAAGATGTTGGATGAGTAACAGTTCAGCACTTCCAGTGTGGGAAATACAGGCCAAACTGGAGATGACACTAAGGCCCCTTCTATACAGCCATATAATCCAGATTATCAAAGCAGGTTTATATATCTGTGGAATATTCAGGATGGGAGAAAGAACTCTTGTCTGTTTGACATTCATACTTGTCTCAAACAGACAAGTGTTTTTCCTCCCACCCTAGACATTGCAGATATATAACCGCACAACCAACAAACCGCACAACCTCTGAGGATGCCTACCACAGATGTGGGCAAAATGTCAGGAGAGAATGCTTCTGGAACATGGCCATACAGCTCAGAAAGCTCACAGCAACCCAATGATTCCAGCCATGAAAGCCTTCGACAACACAACAGCACATCTCTTCCATTCGTCATAAACCATGCAGTGCAATGTGGTATGAACCCACCTTCTACAAATACAGCTAGTGAAAGCATCATTCTGTCCATGGCTACTGGCAGAGCATTAGTACCATGAGCCACAATGTCTATCAGTCCTGAGATGCCATAGAAAAGATACATGGTTGCATGCTGCCAGTTCATGAGGTGATCCCACTGTTTCCTTTCATAATTATACAGTTTCAAATGAGGTCCATCAGGAACAAACTGCTCTGCTACCATACCTGTGTGGGAAACAATGGGAAAACATGTTAGTGACTATCTTGACAGTCCATTTCATTTTTTAGAATTGAAATCTTTGGTATCAATTTGTAAGGACAACACGTCTTTCCAATATCAGAAAAAAATACAGATCAGTACTTTTCAAATCTTTGATACAAATAGACTCTAAATCGCCTGTCTTTTCCCTACATTTAGTCATCAAGAACAATAGGGTTACAAAACTTCTCAAATTACATTCAACATCTAAAAAGCAGACGGATATAACCAGAGCTTTTGAGATCTCTCTGCATTCTTAAAATGACTTCAAGATACTATTAAAGAGAGATAAATTCTGTTAAGAACAGTTAAGAAGTTCTATATGTTAAGAACAAGCTACAAGAGTAAAGACAAACATCAAGGGAACCACTGACTGCAGGGGGAAGCTGATGAAGAAACACAACCTACAAACTATTTACAGACCCACTAAGAAAATCCAACAAATGCTACATTCAGCAAAGAACAAGAGGGATCCTCTCACCTTTGCAGGAGTCTACCATATGCCATATAGCTGTGGACAAGTCTACATAGGGACCACCAAATGCAGCATTGCCAAAACACGAAGCAAGGAACATGAAAGGCACTGCAGACTACTTCAACCAGAGAAGTCAGCCAGAGCAGAGCATCTGATGAACCAACCTGGACACAACATATTATTTGAGAACACAAAAATGTTGGACCACTCTAACAACCACAATGCCAGACAACACAGAAGCCACTGAAATCCACAAGCATGTGGACAATTTCAATAGAAAGAAAGAAACTATGAAAATGAACAAAATCTGGCTACCAGTATTTTTTTTAAAAAAAACTCTAAAATCAGGACAGTAAATAAAGAACAACACTCTGAAAACGGGAATTCCGATAGGAAACAATCAAGGCCAGCTAACACCTCCCAACAACTGAATCCCCCGGCAGAAAGCAACCAGGCCTTGAAGCTACAAGGTCATTCAATGCTAATCAAGGTAGCCAATTGCAATGTTCACACATGACTCACACAGACAAGAGTTCTTTCTCCCATCCTGGACATTCCACAGATATATATCCTCACTCATCCTAGTTTCCAACAGACCTCACAACCTCTGAGGATGCCTGCCATAGATATGGGTAAAACGTCAGGAGAGAATGCTTCTGGAACATGACCATACAGCCCAGAAAACTCACTGCAACCCAGTTATATATTTGTTTGTATATTTAACAATATTTCTTTCAGGAACAGATGTTTATGCTCCTGAATTTAGTATTGATTCCTAAAGTTTCCAACTGATCGCTACACAAATAAAAGCGAAGCTGAGTAATAGGCACAATCCACATGGCTATTTGAAGCCATATCTGTGTGTCAATACATTTTTTCCATTACCTCGTTCTGTTTCACAGCTTATGAATTCTCTTATTCATCCTCAGTCCTAACCACTATTATTCAGAGGCAAGGCCAAAGAAAATAAACTCACCGATGAGAGCAAAGGCAGCTTTGATGATGCCCTCAGTAAATTCTAAGCGTTGAAATCCTGCTTTGGAGCCAATGAAAGAAGTGTTCTTTTTTCTTCGAGAAAGGTACTTTAATGGATACTTCACAGACCACCACAAACCAAAGAGAAGGAAAAAACTGCCAGGAAGTGCGTGACCTTTGAAATTTCCCATCTTTCCTCACTGTGTATCAACCTAAAGACAAAGAATGTGCCTTAAAATATGTCTTAAAGAATATAAAGTGTGTCTTAAAGAATGTAATACTTGGGATTCTAACAAGACACACAGGTCCACTATTACCAAAGTAGAACAATACCAAGTATATATTTCACAGCTTGTACAAGATACAATAAGCAAAAATCTATAATAAACATAAGTATGTTGTGTTCACAATGCTGGTTATATCTTTTGAAGAAAAAAATGATATCAGTTATGAAGAGCTTCTGTTTCCTTATTGAGATTTTCTACAAGATACAACCAATAATGAGGCATAGGTTCCTTGCATTCACAGTGCCAGATAGTAAATCTTCCTTGTAGGTTCCTTGAGGCAGATTCCTCCTTCAAGATAATAGTTTCATTTACACTCTTATGAGAAAGAATTTATAAAGACAAGTTCCTGAGTACAGCTATTCCTCACAACCAGTTTCGACTTATACACAGTCTTCTTCAAGTGGAGAAATATGGATTTACAAAATAAAGTGGACCTAAAGGGAACGAAAAGAGTGGCTAAAACGGTTTCTTAATAGCAAGTATGTTCATATATTATAAACATGCAAATAATAAGTTACAACTATATCAGAACATAATTACTCGCACTAAGTTTTCCTGGCTAAGAAGGTTTCTTAATGGCAAGTATGTTCATATAATGCAACCATGTAATTTCTAAGTTACAAGTGTAACAGAACACAATTACTTACACCAAGTTCTCCTGGAATAAACGATGCTCTGCTTGAGTTTCATTTCATTGCGAGCACCAGCTGCCAGATGACCACTGCTACTGAATGTGCTACACTTAAAGGGACTGGGTGATAAAGTTTTGTGATATTGAAATTGTTGCTACAGAAGGTTACCTGACAGGTTCACAGCAAGAGGTAACAATTATTTAAAGAGATATTACTGAAAGTCTACAAGCAACAATCATATGTGTTAGTATCATTTGACCCTTTTGGGTATTCGGTCTGGAGGGTGAAAATCCAAAAGGATTCATGTTGCAAAAGTCTAGTCCCCAGATCAACGTATGAGGAGGGAGTTACTACCTCTAGAATTTCGACCCGAAGAAACCCTGCATTATGCTGGAATTCTTCAAAATGTTTAGAGAATAAAATCCATTGAATGGTTTCTAATTTTGCTTTTATGATCAATGATGCAATATTTAACTTGCCTTCTTGTCCGTGACATCTCAATATACATGAGATGTCACGGACATGCAATCACATACACAGCTCCTTTGGTAGCACAGGTGGCAACTTATATTGGACTTTGGCGCGTGGATGGTCAAAGATCTTACCCTGAACAAACTGAGGGCATATAGAACTGTGGTGGCATGCAAAGTTCCCCACTAAATTGGGCTTGGGCTTAATAGATTGTGGCCAATGATCTACATCTGAATGTACTAACATGTCTTTAATATTCTGTGTTCTCTTATGTGCTACTACAGTTGGTTTCTCACAGCCGGGTATGTCACTGACAAGACTCCAGTATTTTCTCACAGTTTTGATAACATGTTTAAATAAGTTAGTTAATGTGAGGGGCCACAGAAGTCTTTTGTCTCTAGGTTTCATTTTATCCTCTAGTAAGGAGGTTTGGGGGACTTTGGATATCTTAATGCTTGCTTTATTAATGAGGTGCTCTGCATAGCCTTTGGATCTAAACTGGTCTTTCACTTTTTTAATGTTGTGCTCAAGTTCTTGTTGTAAAGTACAATTACGTTTAATTCTCAGCATTTGCGAGTAGGATAGATTATTTTTCAGAGGAAAGCTATGGAAACTATTATAGTGTAAAAATGAGTTCCTGTCTGTAGGTTTTCGATAATTATTAACAATCAAATTGTTGTGGTTTTTAATGACCACAACATCTAAGTAAGCTATATTGTTTGAGTTTATATGACCCATGAATTCAATCTGGGGATGAGTGGTTTTAGCCCACACCAATAATTCTTGCGCTGTTTGTTGGTTACGCAGGATGATAAACACATCATCTATGTACCTGCAATATTTTATCATGCAATCAAACACAGGGTTCTGTGTGGGATTCAGCATGGATTTTGTTTCCAAATAGTTCATAAACAAATTAGCAATAGATGGGTCAATCAGACTTCCCATAGCCACACCTTGAATTTGAAAATAAAAATGTCCATCAAATTTAAAATAGTTTTTCTCGAGAATAACATCAAATAGAAAATGGGTGGGGTGATATGAATTTGTTCTTTAATCCAATGTGCTTTCACAAATTCTGCATGCTTCTGTTAAAGGGATGCTGGTGTATAGTGAAGTGACATCCATTGGCATTAAAACTGCATCTGGAGGGATAGAAAGCTGTTTTATAAGGTTAATGAAATGTTTGGTATCCTTGATGTAGGATGTAGTGAGTTTAACAAAAGGCTGTAAGAATGAATCCACAAACTTTGCTAATGGTTCAAGAATTGAACCTGACCCAGATACAATAGGATGGCCCATTGGAGGTCTGGTGTTCTTGTGTATTTTAGGCAACATGTATAATACTGGAATATGTGGATGTGTATTTATTAGAAAGTATTTTTCTTTCATAGATATGTATCCCCGACTGAGACTTTCCAAGACTACTGTCCTAATAATCAATTGGATATGTTCAGTGGGGTCCCTCTCTATCTGAGAATAGTGTTCCCAGACAGAAAGCTGTCAATGTCCTTCTTCCATATAGTCTGTTCTATTCATAATTACTATGGCTCCCGCCCCCCTTGTCAGCTGGTTTCCAAATAATATCTTTGTCATGGGCTAATGATTTAAATGTTTGTTCTGTACCTATCCTTATTAGGAATATGTTTGGAATAAACTTCATCACTCACCACTTTTTCAAAGGCCCTAATGCTCACATGATCTATGGCAGGCACAAAAGTACTGTGAGATTTGAACTGTCTGTATTTAATGTATATCCAAAATGGTGACGTAATTTAATAGAGTGAAATAATCTAGCTAATTCAATACGAATCTTAAATGAATCAATCCTAGGAGTAGGTACAAAAGAAAAACCTTTATTAATAATCAGTTTTTCTTGAGGAGACAGTATTCTATTTGACAAATTGACGATCAGGTCTTCCGTTTCTGGTTGGGGGCCATCGGAAAAAAGTTCTCATTTGATTCTTGTTGCAGCCAGAACGCCTGGGTATAAAGGTGCTATCCCTATGAGAAAAAGAGGTACTGTGAGAAGAGCCCTTTGAATAAGAGGTGGAATCCTCCTCTGAAGTGTAATCAGTATCACTAAAGCATACCTGCTTTTTAGATTTGCTGGTATTAGTGTACAGCCAACGATATACCCTGTTGTGAGTATAATCATTTTCATCTCTTTCAAACTTCTAAAGTTTGAAGGTTTTAATTTTTTGAGATAGTTCCTTAAGTTTATTTGATAAGGCTGCTAGGTCATCTTTGTGACAATCATCCATATTAAGAGTAATGAATGGGACTGAATCTTAATACTCTCTAGCTCCTCATTAGAACAAGAAATCAATAAAAGTATTAAGTCATGTGAGCATTTGTTCAAAATAGACACCCATTTCTGATTGAAGGACACACCCTGAGTGAACATCCCCGGAGGTTTAAATATGCATAACCCTCTAGGCATTCTATTAGTTTTAATATGTTCAGCTAAAGTCGAGGCATGCAAGTGTAAACACATCTCTCTGCATTTAAGTTTCTCATAATCACTGAAAGAAGTTTATTTATTATTATAACTGGGCTCCTTGTAGTCAAACAAAGATCTATCTTTAATTACTGAGTCTCTAAGGCAACATCAAAACTTAATTGTTCAAGCCTCTCTGCCATAGCAAGCTAAAGTTGCGACAAACTAAAAAGAAATGGGTTCCCTAAGACCAACAAGACACACAGGTCCACTATTACCAAAGTAGAACAATACCAAGCATATATTTCACAGCTTGTACAAGGTACAATAAGCAAAAATCTACAATGAACGTAAGTATGTTGTGTTCACAATACTGGTTATAGTCCTTTGAAGAAAAAATGATATCAATTATGAAGAGCTTCTGTTTCCTTATTGAGATCTTCTACAAGATACAACCAATGATGAGGCATAGATTCCTTGGATTCACAGTGCCAGATAGGAACCCGGTTATAATAATAAACAAACTGCTTTCAGTGATTATGAGACACTTAAATCCAGAGACATATGTTTAGACTTGCATGCCTCGACTTTAGCTGAATATACAAGGGGTATTTTTTAAGTAAGGTCCGTTTGAACATAAGTACACAACAAAAGTTTATTTCAAAAAAGTAAATTTATTTTCAGAAAGTACATACTTCACTCTATTTTTCGACATAGTTGCCAAGTTTGTTCAAACACTTATCATACCTCTGAATCAATTTTAAAATACCCTCTTCATAAAAACTTGCCGCCTGCTCTGATAACCAATAGTCTGTAATCAAAGAAGGGCGACCGGAGCGGTCCTCATCATGGACGTTGTCACAGCCATCTTCGAATTGTCGTACCCACTTACACACTTTGCTTTCACTCATAACAGTATCATCGTATACTTCACAAATCTGTTGATGAATTTCTGCAGCAGGCAGGTTCCTTGCTGACAAAAACCGTATCACTGAGCGAACCTCACATGCGGCGGGTGAGTTGATAGTCTTAAACATTTTTAAAGCACAGAACAGAACCGTACAGGTTAGCTACAGAGCAGAAACTGAGCACAGTTGTTCCCGAGGCATGCCAGTACACAACGCACATGCTCGTTGTGGTATGCGCGTGAACTACTAGTGTCTACAACAAAACGGACCTTACTTAAAAATAGAATACTGATCAAATGATACTAACACATATGATTGTTTCTTGTAGACTTTTAGTAATATCTCTTTAAATAACTGTTACCTCTTGCTGTGAACCTGTCAGGTAACCTTCTATAGTAACAATTTCAATATCACAAAACTTTATCACCCAGTCCCTTTAGGTGTAGCACATTAAATAGCAGTGGTAATCTCTGG